TGAGAGGAGGCGAAGCCACGCCCACATAAAGGGCGCATAAAGCGAGGGGGCGTGGCACAGGAGGCGTGTCCAAGGGGCGGGGCCTGTGCGTGGCCACGCCCCGATTGCCTTTTTGGGGTTTGGGGGGGGATTTGGGGCTTTTTGGGGAGATTTTGGGGTTTTTGGGGGAATTTTTTTGGGTTTTTTTTTGGGTTTTGGGGTCTGGAGGCTGCGGGGGGTCATTGGGATTTTTTGGGGTGCTTTGGGGCCATATTTGGGATTTTTTAGGGAATTATTGGGAATTTTTTTGGGGATTATCGGGATTTTTTGGGGGGGAATTATTGGGAATTTTTGGGGGGATTATTGGGAATTTTTTGAGGGAATTATTGGGAATTCTTGGGGGATTATTCGGAATTTTTTTAGAGAATTATTGGGAATTTTTTGGAGGAATTATTTGGAATTTTGGGGGGATTTATTGGGAATTTTTTGAGGGAATTATTGGGAATTTTTTTGGGATTCATTGGGGAATTTTTTGAGGGAATTATTTAGATTTTTTGAGGAATTATTGGGAAATTTTGGGAATTATTGGGAATTTTTTGGAGGAATTATTTGGAATTTTTTTGGGAATTATTGGGAATTTTTTGAGGGAATTATTGGGAATTTTTTTGGGAATTATTTGGATTTTTTGGGGGGAATTATTGGGATTTTTTTGGGAATTATTGGGAATTTTTTTGAGATTTATTTGGATTTTTGGGGGGGGAATTATTGGAATTTTTTGGGGATTTATTGGAATTTTTTTGGGGAATTATTGGGAATTTCTGGGAGGATTTTTTGGGATCCAGAACAGATTTTTTTTCCCCAAAAATCCCATTTTTCACACATTTTTATTCTTGCCCTCTTTGCATAATCCAGGGGGGGAAAATCCCGAAGCTTTTCCCGGGATTTTTTTTAATTTTTTCCAGGATTTTTTATTATTTTTTTCCAGGATTTCCATCCCAGGGGAAGCTCTTGCATAGCCAGGGAAAAAAATGGGAATAAAAGCGGGAAAATCTGGATAAAATCGGGATAAAATTGGAATAAAATTGGGATAAAATTGGAATAAAATTGGGATAAAATCGGGATAAAATTGGAATAAAATAGGGATAAAATTGGAATAAAATTGGGATAAAATTGGAATAAAATCAGAATAAAATCGGGATAAAATCAGGATAAAATTGGGATAAAATTGGAATAAAATTGGGATAAAATCTGGATAAAATTGGGATTTAGGAGGAGCCAGATCCTGGGATTAAAATTCCCTAAAAATTTAGGAATTTCCCCCCCCCCCAAAAAAAAAATCCCCTTGAGCCGAAGAATTCCAGGAATTGGAAAAAATTCCCAATTATTTCCTAAAAAAATTACAATAATTCCCCAAAAAAATCCCAAAAATTCCCTAAAAAAATTCCCAAAAATTCCCTCAAAAATTCCCAATAATCCCCAAAAAAATTCCCTAAAAAATTCCCTAAAAAATTCCCAATAATCCTCAAAAAAATTCCCAATAATCCCCCCAAAATTCCCAATAATCCCCCCCAAAATTCCCAATAATTCCCCCCAAAATTCCCAATAATTCCCTCAAAAAATTCCCAATAATTCCCAAAAAAATTCCACAAAATTCCCCAAAAAATTCCCAATAATTTCCCCAAAAATTCCCAATAATTCCCCAAAAAATTCCCAATAATTCCCCAAAAAATTCCCAATAATCCCCAAAAATTCCCAATAATCCCCAAAAATTCCCAATAATTCCAGGAATGGGAATTTCCTTTGGAATTCCAATCCTTAAGGGATTTTTTTTCCTTTTTTTTTTTATTATTTTGGCCCAAAAAATTCCCGGGATTTGTTTAAATTAAAGTGGAGGGGGAAAAAAAAAAGGGAATTTTTTTGGGTTTTTTTGGGGGGAGACCGAAATTCCCAAATTTTACGGGGATGATCCCAAAAAAACCAACAAACCCCAAAGGCGGATCCTGGAATTCCCAAATCCGGGAATAAAGTGCAGAAATGTCCGTGGGGGGAGGGGAATTCCCGGATTTCTTTAAATAATGGGGGAGGGGGGGATAAATATTCCCGTGGGAAAAGGGGGGAGGGGATCCCAGAGTTCTCGATCCCTGGGGATCCCAGAGTTCTCGATCCAAGGGGATCCCAAAGTTCTCGATCCAAGGGGATCCCAAAGTTCTCGATCCAAGGGGATCCCAAAGTTCTCGATCCAAGGGAGATCCCAAAGTTCTCGATCCAAGGGGATCCCAAAGTTCTCGATCCATGAGGAATTCCAGATCCCAGAGTTCTCGATCCAGGGGGATCCCAAAGTTCTTGATCCAAGGAGATCCCAAAGTTCTCGATCCAGGGGGATTTGGAGATCCCAAAGTTCTCGATCCATGAGGAATTCCAGATCCCAAAGTTCTCGATCCAGGGGGAATTGGGGATCCCAAAGTTCTCAGTTCATGGGAATTCCGGATCCCAAAGTTCTCGATCCCCAGGGATCCCAAAGTTCTCATTCCAAGGGGATTTGGGGATCCCAGAGTTCTCATTCCAAGAGGAATTCCAGATCCCAGAGTTCTCGATCCAGGGGGAATTCCAGATCCCAAGGTTTTCAGTTCATGGGGAATTCCGGATCCCAAAGTTTTCATTCCCCAGGGATCTGGGGATCCCAAAGTTCTCATTCCAGAAGGATCCCAAGGTTCTCAGTTCATGGGAATTCCAGATCCCAAAGTTCTCGTTCCAAGCGGATTTGGGGATCCCAGAGTTCTCGATCCCTGGGGATCCCAAAGTTCTCATTCCAGGGGGATCCCAAAGTTCTCAGTTCATGGGGAATTCCAGATCCCAAAGTTCTCGATCCCTGGGGATCCCAGAGTTCTCGATCCCTGGGGATCCCAAATTTCTCGATCCCTGGGGAATTCCAGATCCCAGAGTTTTCATTCCAGGGGGATCCCAAAGTTCTCATTCCAAGGGGATTTGGGGATCCCAAAATTTTCAGTTCATGGGGAATTCCAGATCCCAGAGTTCTCGATCCAGGGGGATCCCAAAGTTCTTGATCCAAGGAGATCCCAAAGTTCTCGATCCAGGGGGATTTGGAGATCCCAAAGTTCTCGATCCATGAGGAATTCCAGATCCCAAAGTTCTCGATCCAGGGGGAATTGGGGATCCCAAAGTTCTCAGTTCATGGGAATTCCGGATCCCAAAGTTCTCGATCCCCAGGGATCCCAAAGTTCTCATTCCAAGGGGATTTGGGGATCCCAGAGTTCTCATTCCAAGAGGAATTCCAGATCCCAGAGTTCTCGATCCAGGGGGAATTCCAGATCCCAAGGTTTTCAGTTCATGGGGAATTCCGGATCCCAAAGTTTTCATTCCCCAGGGATCTGGGGATCCCAAAGTTCTCATTCCAGAAGGATCCCAAGGTTCTCAGTTCATGGGAATTCCAGATCCCAAAGTTCTCGTTCCAAGCGGATTTGGGGATCCCAGAGTTCTCGATCCCTGGGGATCCCAAAGTTCTCATTCCAGGGGGATCCCAAAGTTCTCAGTTCATGGGGAATTCCAGATCCCAAAGTTCTCGATCCCTGGGGATCCCAAAGTTCTCATTCCAGGGGGATCCCAAAGTTCTCATTCCAGGGGGATCCCAAAGTTTTCAGTTCATGGGAATTCCAGATCCCAAAGCTCTCGATCCCTGGGGATCCCAGAGTTCTCGATCCCTGGGGATCCCAAAGTTCTCGATCCCTGGGGAATTCCAGATCCCAGAGTTTTCATTCCAGGGGGATCCCAAAGTTCTCATTCCAAGGGGATTTGGGGATCCCAAAATTTTCAGTTCATGGGGAATTCCAGATCCCAGAGTTCTCGATCCAGGGGGATCTGGGGATCCCAAAGTTCTCATTCCAGAGGGATCCCAAAGTTCTCAGTTCATGGGGAATTCCAGATCCCAAAGTTCTCGATCCCTGGGGATCCCAAAGCTCTTGATCCCTGGGGAATTTCAGATCCCAGAGTTCTCATTCCAGGGGGATCTGGGGATCCCAAAGTTCTCATTCCAAGAGGATCCCAAAGTTTTTGATCCCTGGGGATCCCAAAGTTCTCATTCCAGGGGGATCCCAAAGTTCTCAGTTCATGGGGAATTCCACATCCCAGAGTTCTTGATCCAGGGGGATTTGGGGATCCCAAAGTTTTTGATCCAAGGGGATCCCAAAGTTCTCGATCCCCGGTGATCCCAAAGTTCTCATTCCATGAGGAATACCAGATCCCAAAGTTCTCGATCCCTGGGGATCCCAAAGTTCTCGATCCAGGGGGAATTCCAGATCCCAAAGTTCTCGATCCCCGGGGATCCACCTGGGGAATCCTTCCCTGGGAGCGCTCCCGGATCTCTCCTCGCTCTCCCCGCTCCCATCGGGATCCCGCTGGGATCGAGGGGAATCCCTGGGATCTGCCCCGACCAATCCTTCCCGAAGAGCTCCCGGGATCCGCCCGGAACAATCCTCTGCTGGAGCAGCCCCCGGGATCCACTGGGAGAAATCCTTCCCTGGGAAATCCCTGGGATCCACTCGGAGAATCCTTCACTGGAGCAGCCCCCGGGATCCACTCAGAGAAATCCTTCCCTGGGAAATTCCCGGGATCCACTCAGAAGAATTATTCACTGGGAAAGTTCCTGGGATCCACTCAGAGAATCCTTCACTGGGAAATCCCTGGGATCCACTAAGAGGAATTATTCACTGGGAAATCCCTGGGATCCACTCGGAGAAATCCTTCACTGGGAAAGCCCCCGGGATCCACTCAGAGAAATCCTTCACTGGAAAAGTTCCTGGGATCCACTCGGAGAAATCCTTCACTGGAGGAGCTCCTGGGATCTGCTCCAACGAGTCCTTCCTTGGGGGAGTTCCGGGATCCACCCGGAGAAATCCATCCTGTGGAGAGCTCCTGGGAAGTTCCGGGATCCACCCGGAGAAATCCATCCTGTGGAGAGCTCCTGGGATCTCTCCAGACCAATCCATCCCTGGAAAAGCTCCTGGGATCCACCTGGGGAATCCTTATCTGGAAAATTCCTGGGATCCACTGAGAGAAATCCTTCCCAGGAAAAGTTCCTGGGATCCACTTGGAGAATCCTTCACTGGAAGAGTTCTCGGGATCCACTCAGACTGATCCCCCACTGGAGAAGCTCCTGGGATCTCTCCAGACCAACCCTTCCCAGGAGAAGCTCTTGGGATCCACTTGGAGAAATCCTTCACTTTAAAATTCCTGGGATCCACTTGGAGAACCCTTCCCTGGAAAAGTTCCTGGGATCCACCCAGACCAACCCTTCCCTGGAGAAGTTCTCGGGATCCACTTGGAGAATCCTTCAATGGAAAAGCTCCTGGGATCTCTCCATACCGATCCTTCCCAGGAAAAGTTCCTGGGATCCACTTGGAGAATCCTTCCCTGGAAAAGTTCTCGGGATCCGTGCAGACCGATCCTCCACTGGAGAAGTTCCTGGGATCCACTTGGAGAAATCAACTTGGAGATCTTTCACTGCAGAAGCTCCTGGGATCTCTCCAGACCAATCCATCCCAGGAAAAGTTCTCAGGATCCACTCAGACCGATCCTTCACTGGAAGAGCTCCTGGGATCCACTTGGAGAATCATTCAATGGAAAAGTTCTTGGGATCCACTTGGAGAATCCTTCACTGGAAAAGTTCTTGGGATCCACTTGGAGAATCAGTCACTGGAAGAGCTCTCGGGATCCACTTGGAGAATCCTTCACTGGAAAAGTTCTTGGGATCCACTTGGAGAATCATTCAATGGAAAAGTTCTCGGGATCCACTCAGACCAATCCTCCACTGGAAAAGCTCTCGGGATCCACTTGGAGAATCCTCCACTGGAAGAGCTCTTGGGATCCACTCAGACCGATCCTCCACTGCAGAAGTCCTTGGGATCCACCCGGAGAACCCTTCCCAGGAAGAGCTCT